CCTTATGCTTTGCACTATAGCCGAGAAAAGCACATTGTTTGGAGCGGAACATAAGTTTGCGGTTGTTGTACGGACGCAGGTTAGGCCAGCAGGCACAACCGAACACACGAAGAGAGTGATAATCTGGTCGAGTATTAAGGAGCCTATGCATGGGTGTATCATTGTTGATGACACGGCTTGGAAGCATGTTAATGAGGTGGACTGCCGTAAGAAACGCCTCATCCCAAAACTTGAGGGGCATGGAAGCGCCAGCAAGTAGGGCTAGGCCTACTTCAACAATATGGCGATGTTTACGCTCGGCCGAGCCATTCTGTTGATGTGCATGGGGACAAGATACGTGATGAGAAATACCCAAGGTTTGAAAAAATGAATCAAGTTTCTCATACTCACCGCCCCAATCAGATTGGACGGCGAGAATTTTTGTATCGAATTGACGTTCAACAAGTGCTTGAAAATTTTGAAAAACTTGGAAAACATCAGAACGTTTTTTGAGAAGATAAATCCAAGTATACTTACTAAAATCATCTATGAAACTAACATAGTAAGTATGACGTCCAACAGACATAGGGGCAGGACCCCAAACATCAGAAAAGACAAGTTGTAATGGTCTAGTAGAAACACTAGTAGAAATTGGATATGGTAACTGATGAGATTTTGTTTTCTGACAAGAATCACATATAGTTTCAAGACTACGCTCACCAACACATGGGAGCTGATTATTTCTAAGCACTTGCTGAACGATAACAAAAGATGGATGTCCTAATCTTGCATGCCACCGCTCCGAAGAGAGTTTGATGACACCAAAAACTTGTTTATTGAAGCTTGTAAATTTGGGAATCAATAGATAGACCCCATGCACGCATCTACCTCTGTAGAGAATGTTCCTCGTGACCTGATCTCGAATCAAAAAGAAATATGGGTGAAATTCTAGAAACACTTTGTTGTCAAGGGCAATACGATGAACAGAAAGAAGGTTTTTTTTTGTTTTAGGAACATGCTAGATATTTCTAAGATGGATATTGCGACTAGGGGTTTTGACAATTGCATGACCAATATGATTAATCTCCATACCTTCACCATTCGCATTGTGAACTTGATCTTGGCCATGATACTTCTCGCTCATCGTCACCTTCTCGAGCTCGTTGGTGATGTGGTTGGTAGCCCCAGAGTCGACGTACCAGTTTGTGTCAACTCTGTATGACATGTCCGCTGCTGCTGCAACTTTCATTTTGGGGTTGCTCTCGGCATATCGCCAATCACAATCCTTGGCGATGTGGTTATTTTTCTTGCAAATTTGACACTTATTTTCATATTCCTCATACCCTTGGGAGGGACGCCCCCTGTTGTTGTTGTAGTAGGGGCGTCTGTTGTTGCCGCCGCCGTTCTGGTAGTGACCACCGCCACCGCCGCCGCCGGCGTTCTGGTAGTGGCCGCCGCCACCACCTCCGCCGCTGTTGTAGTTGTTGTAGCCGCCCGCGTTGGAGTTGGTGTAGTGACCGTTGCCGCCGTTGCCGCCGTTCTGGTAGGGGCCGCCGCCGCCACCACGAGATCCACCACCACCACTCCTGTTGGAGTTGTGGTAGCGGCTGGAGTTGTTGTTGTTGCCACGACCTCGGGATGCAACATTAGCTGAGGACTTGAAAGCCCCTGCCCCTGTCCCGTGGAACATCTCAACGCGCTGGTCGAAGTTGGAGACCATGCCGAAGAGATCATCCACCGAGAGGGGAGCAGTGCGTACGTCCAGCGCCGAGATCAGAGGTTGGTAGTCCATGTCGAGCCCTGCAATGATGTGAGAAAGAAGATCTTCTTCTGTTATGGGGTTCCCGGTGGCAGCTAGCTCATCAGAGAGTGCTCTCATCTGCCCAGAGTATGCGGATGCGCTAAGGGAGCCGTTCTGTGCATTGATGAGGGAATGGCGGCAGTTGTTCACACGAGAACGGGATTGGGTAGCGAACATATTTGCTAGGGCTGACCATATGGCATGCGAGGTTTCTAGGGAGGCAACTTGAATCAGGACCTCCTTCGAGAGATTACGAAGGAGGAAGGCTACGATCTACTGATCTTGAATCAGCCATGGTTTGTATTCAGGGTTAGGAGCGATTTGATCCTTTCCTTCTGAGGTCTTGGTGATGATGGTTTTGTTTGGCTCGGGTGTGGTTTGATCTATATACCCATATAGCCCAGCACCCATGATCTGGGAGCGAGCTTGGGCTCTCCATAGGATGTAGTTGGTTCTTGTGAGGGGCTCGGATGTGGTGTTGGTAAGGGCAATGGATGGAGTTTGGCTGGAGGTGGACATGGTTGGAGCTAGGGTTTTCAGCGAGGAGGAAGAAGGATGATCGAGGCTAGATGTGGCGGAACAGGGAGGCTCTGATTACCATGTAAAACTGTATCGAAGCGTCTCAATACCCATACACAGGCACCTGCATGTTATATATTGATATTGTGGTTTGTGATACAAGAAAGGTTTTTGGGAAACAACCGTATGAGAGATTACAGGGGGTTTAAGATAGAGATAACTAGAGATTACAATCTATCTCTAGACACAACCGAAACAGGTACATAACTACCTGTACCTATACGCCACCTGTACCCATACATTTAACAAAACAATCGAAGTAGAAACAAAAATGCTTACATCATAAAACTTAATTGTGGAACAGAATAAAACGATCTTGAGCAAACTAAACCAAAAGCAGGGCAAGAACAATACAAAATGCAAGGCAGAATAACCCATCTGTTAGTAGAAGGAAGATAAGGAGGCATAGTTTTGTTTAATCAAAGATAAGATGAACTTCAGGGGCCTGAACAAAAAATGCAGGTCAATGAAAGCACTACTTACATCTGTATCATTGTGATGCCTGAACTTGATAAGCAATCCTTCTGTGCTGATCCTAGGTGTCTCACACGTGCTCTAGTGGCTGGCTATGCAGTTAGAACATGCAATTGCTGACTCAATGTAGTTATACATTTCAGTTATTTTATTAAATACATATAAAAAGATAATTCTTAGACCTTTAATTGCAATTGACAGCGAGCAATTTATCTATGTGTCCCAATGTGAATGTACAACGGAAAGTCGGAAGAAAGTTTGTTGATGCGACTGCGTGCCGCCTGGCAACGAGCTCTGTAGAAAATCAGAGTGGACGCGTGGATGCTTGCTATGGGCTACAGCAAGTATTCACAGATTCTTTGCGCCTGTGGATGTGGGATAGTGGGTCTTGATTCAGCGGAGTCAGCTCCATGTTGTTTCAGTCCCAATCAACCTCGTTCGGTTGACTAGTGTCCCTCCAACTTCCTAGTCGATCTTTCTTCAGGGTCATTTTGGTGGTCTGCCGTTTCTCCATCTGCCTTGCTATGCAGCTGCTCTTCTTCTTTGGTTGTTGTTAGTAGTTATTTTCAGGGCACTGTTTTGTTTGAGTTGTTTTGAGGATGGAGGTCGTTTGTGCTCAGACTTTGTATGGGGTTTCTTCCCCTTTTCTTTCTATCTATTTATTCAGAGTCAGTCCTCCTGCTTGGTTCAAAAAAAAAATATTACTAAATTTATCAGGAGCTCAATGCATTTACCACGTGTGGCTTCAGATTCCCCCCTTTAATATTGAAAAGGTTGCTGGAAGTCTTGTTCCTCTGTTCAATTTGGTAGGATTAATCTGTGATAGCATTCCTACACAATCTGGTACACAAACCAAAACATATACAAGTAGCTGAGAGGTGACACAGTCGATCGGGTCCGTTCATTTTCAATCCGACAACTGCTGATAGGAAGACCTTCCCACTACAGTGATTTGGGGGATTTAAGGCAAGCATGGCGCCCTGATTCACCCAAAACCGACCCTATGGGTCTCACATCACGTGTATAGGTAGGGTTCCCCTTTTTTTGGAGGGATGTCACTACAGCATTTAGGGCCTCGTCGATTTGCAGGACACCAAAAAATGCAGGAATAGGAAAACGAAGGATTGCATTTGGCATACCCACGTGAAGCCTATAAGATTGAATTTGCACCAAAAGGTTTGTTTGATTGCGTCGCAAGAAAAGAAATAATTATTTTCAAGAGGCTTGATTCAACTGAATTTTTCCTATGACTTTATGAAATGTAGTACAATGGAATCCTTAGGAAAAAAAACTCAACACAATCCTGAAATTCCCAAGGATTAATCCTCCAGAATTTGAACAAAAATCCCTTGCAGCAACGAGTTCTTAGCTAGCACCACTACCTCATCCAAAATTACCAAAGTAAGCAATGGAATCCTTCAGGAAAAAAAATCCTATGTGATACTGTCCTAAAATTTCTAATCCTCCAAAATTCATATGAAAATCCATTAAATCAAAGAGGCCCATCACTGGCATCACTAAATCAATCCAAAACTGAACAAAGTAATCTTTAACTGCAAGAATCAGAAGTACATCACATATGCATGATTAAGCACAACATCTAAGACTCGATTAGCTGGGTGATCTAACAGGCCCAGGTTATTCAACACTGACATCACGTAGAAGTCATGGCTATGGAGCACAACAGAATGATGCAAAAATTACTTACATATATGGGGAAGGCTTGTGTGCTCCATGCCACATCTTAAGCACTAAATTAATGCATGCATGTCCACTGCTTCTGTTCTGTGAATTTCTCATGGAGGATATCCAATCCACAAAAAGAACCAAACAGGATTAGAGGTTACAATCTCTTCTTGCTTCTTGAACATCCCAAAGGGCAATCAACCGTGTGAAATATAAATTGCTTAGGTGATCAACTTCTAAATCCCTGATCATCCAGTAAATCTTCATGATTTGATTTTGCCAACTCGATGTTCAAGGAAGTGGAGATATAAATTGCTTAGGTGATCAACTTCTAAATCCCTGATCATCCAGTAAATCTTCATGATTTGATTTTGCCAACTCGATGTTCAAGGAAGTGGAGATATAAATTGCTTAGGTGATCAACTTCTAAATCCCTGATCATCCAGTAAATCTTCATGATTTGATTTTGCCAACTCGATGTTCAAGGAAGTGGAGAGGCTAACCTAGAGACACCTCCATATACTCTTTTTCTAATGTTGGCTACTATCCTATCTGCGGCCTGGACATCAGTTTCTTCATCATCTTTTAGCTTGTGCAACTCCTTCGGATCTTTACACTCCTTCAGAACATTGGAAACAGCCTGAGCTTTCTCCAATATTAATTTTCTCTTTTCTTTAGCATTGTCGCCTTCCTTTTCTCTGTAGCTGCCAGGCAACTTTGTAGAATGTGGTACTGAGCGCATTAGATCGGTCAACTTCTCTTCCAGTTGAACCAAACCCAGCCGCTTGAGCTCTTTCATAAGCATCCTGTAAGTGATATACTGGGGCACGTGCCCTCGACGAAACATATCCTCAAATTCAGCACACGCTTCTTCAAACCGATGGTTTCGGCAAAGCAAATGTATCAGCATGGTGCTTGTTGCCAGATCAGACTCAAAGCCATTAGCCTTCATCTCCTTTATCATCTGTACCACTAATTCAAGCCGATTAGCCTCGCACAACATCTTGACCAGGAGGTTGTAAGTGGTCTGGTCCGGCGCATAACCATTGTTGACCATCTTGTTATAAAGATTCATCCCCAGCTCAACATTGCCGTTCTTGGCGAAGAACACAAAGAAGTAATTGTACGTTTTTGCCGTTGGCAAGATGCCCCTCCCCATCATGGCCTTGAGCACACCGCTTGCCCCGGCAAGGTCTCCATATTTGCAGTAAGCCAACACGAGCGAGTTGAATGTCGAGATATTAGGCGCCACCCCGTAGAGAGGAAATTTCTCGAGCAGGTTGTATGCGTCCCGAAATCGGCCGGCGTGAGCCAGGGCGTGCACGATGGGGTTGCAGGTAACCAGATTCGCCTCGATCCCTTCCTTCCTCATCTCGTCGAGGAGAGACACGGCCTGGTCCGGCTGCTGCATCCGACAAACCGCCTTGATAAGAGTCCCGTATGAGACCACCGTCGGCCGCACGCCGGCCACACGCATCTCAGCCCAGAGCTTCCCGACCTTGTCCAGCCGGCGGGCGCTGGACCAGCCGTCGAGGAGCATGTTGTAGGTCCGTTCGTCGGGCGCCAGCTCCCCCTCACGCCGGCACCGCTCGACGAGTTTCGCGGCCGGGCGCGGGTGGCCCTCCTTGCAGAGCGCCCCGACAGCCATGTTTAGGAGGGAGGTCGCGGCGGGGGAGCCGTCGCCATCGACCGTGTAGCGGTCGGGGTTGCGGCGGAGGAAGTGGAACGCGCGGAGGGCCGCGGAGGCGCGGCCAAGGCGGGCGTAGCGGCGGACGAGCGGGGCGAAGGTGGCGAGGGGAGGGGGCGGTGATGAAGGGAACTGGAGGAGGAGGAGGCGCCAGGAGGCGGCGAAGAGGCCGCGGGCGGCGAGGAGGGAGACGGCGGCGGCGGAGCCGGCCCAGCGGGCGAGCGCGGGGAACGCGGACTCCGGGAGGGTGCTGAGCGACTGGCGGAGGTGCGGGAACAGCGCGGGGTCCGGGCTGATGCCGGACGCGCGGAGGCGGTCGTCGGGGTCCGCGTCGCTGAGGATAGAGACTACTGCGGCGGCGGCGGCGGCGGCGGCGGCGGAATTGTTGGGAGGGGCGGGAGCGGAGAGCGGGGCGGCGGCGGGCCTAGCCTGCATTTCGTTTTCGGATGTCTGACGAGGAAGGGACAGAGGTTTCGCTTTGCCCTGCCCCGGCACGACTGCGTTCTACAGGAGCCGTCCGATTACAGCATGTACGGTTAGGATGGTGCTCTGGATTCAAAACGTTCAGAGTTGTCATGTGTTCCTGTTGCGCAAATTCCTTCAACTCTCACACAAGCCCAACCTCTACACTAATTCCTACTCTAAACTCTATCGACCTTGTGATCTGAATTGCCATGAAACATCGGTTTTGGACGAAGCAGAACATTGCACTAGGACCGAGATCATCAAGTGCATTAAGGTTCATTGGAGCAACCACACCACGAAAAATGCCACCTCGAAACACGAAGATGAATTGAAGAAGGGCTTCCCCTTTTCTTTAAACTCAACGTAGGAATGTCTGGGCGAGATTATTTTTAAAGAGGTAGATTTATAGTACTATGTATTTTTGTGCCTGACTATCACTATGTAACCGAGATAAAATTTGGGAGTGCTGAAAAGCATAGTTTTTATCTGCCTCTTATGGATATTATTTGGATCTTGTTGCCCTAACAAAGTAACGTTAATCTGTTGGGACTTAAAATCCAATAAAAGTCACCAGTGTAACCACGAAGACAAAATGCACCACAAAATAAATATTTTTGAAGTATTTGAGTAATTTTTTTAATCCATTTCCAAATCAAGCCTTGTAGCAATTTAATTGCTAAAATTATATTTTGACTTTAAAAAAATCCCCCAAAAATGTTGTGTTTTGGTATTTGAAACACCCTAGAGTGGATAAACTTGCTTGGTCATATTAAAACTTCTGAAAGTAAATTTCGATTATAGTGTTGGCACGAATTCATATTTGCTTGATAGGTCAAGCAAGTATTCTTTGAGAATTTCCAATGTGAGTCTCATGGATGCCTCTCTTCCTTATTTCCTACTGTACTTGATAATATGACTTGGGCCAAAACATCTTCTTGTTATTTCCTACTGTACTTGATAATATGGCTTGGGTCAAAACATCTTCTTGTGCACAACTTTGAAGTCCAAATCTATTGAACTTGATTTTTGAACTTTGGAGCTCACCTCCCTCATTTCAATCTGCCCTAATCATTGGCTCTCTCTAAGACTAACTAGTGACCCCTAGGCCACACCCTAGACACTGGTTGGCCCCAGCTCTCTCTCTCTCTCTCTCTC